TGCTCAAGTGCTGGACGCCCCTGCTTCTGGGCCAGCTTCCCACCCACGTGCCACATGGGAGGCACAATGATCCCTCCAGTTCCCCGCTGCCCACGTGGGAGATCCAGATGGAGTTCCAGGCTCCTGGTTTCACCCTGGCTCAGCCCTGGGCATCTGGGGCATGAAGTAGATTGAAGATCTCTCTCTCTCTCTCTTCCTATTTAAATAAATTAAGAAAGAAATTAAGAGTTTACAAGTCCCTGGGGAGGACCCACTCTGTGGTTCTGCACTGGGTGTGGTCTGTGACCGGAGACCTGCAATTTCAGCCCTTCAAGAGTGGTACCCGGGCATGGGTGTGCAGAAGGCACTGAGGATGGGGCCCTGTCTGTGCCCAGAGGTGCCCCCGATGGGGCTGGAGGAGCTGGGAAGATGAAGTTTAGACCTGGAACCTCCCCCGCACCAGCACCAGTGTCCTTCCCAGTGAAGAAGCAGCTCAGAAGTCACGTGTTGGGGGGGGGATGGGCTCCTTGCTGCTGGTTTTCCCTTGAGTTTGCATGCTGAAGCCTGAAGAAGGCGCTGTCCTCGCTCTGCTTTGGCCACACCTTGGTTCCTCTCTCTCTTTGGTGATCCCCCACTCCCCTTTCCCTCGCCCCCCTGGAAGGGCCGGCCGTTGTCTTGAGCTTGGGCGACACCTGGTGGCCACTGTAGGACAGCACAGGTGCTTTGCTCCACACCTCCTGGAGGACAAGACCCAGAAATCAAGTGGCCAGCGTCATCTCCACCATGGTTGCCACCAACACTTTCTCTCACAGGGAGCAGCCTGGGAAGCCACCTCACAGACTGTGGCACCTGGCTCAGTCACTCACAGGTCACGTGGTCTCAGGCAAATCCCATCACGCCCCAGCCTCTGCCCCTCCTTGCCATGGAGCAAAGATTGAGGGGGTACATTGGAGGATCTGAGGATTGGAAGAAGTTGGGGATGAGATGGCCCCCGCCAGGCCCCTGGCTCGCATGTGCAGCAGCCGGGAGATGGAGGGGCTGTGGTGGGAGTGGGCTACTGGTGACACGCTCCCCAAATTGGAAACTGGCAACAGCCAGACTGTGGCTGGGAGGGAAACCTGCTCCCTCTGTGTGGTCATGTGGGCATGAGGGGGAGCAGGAAGCACGGAGGGGAGGGAGGAGGAGGCAGAAAGAGAGTGGGTGTCACCACTGAACCTCCCTCAAGGTCACAGTGGGGAGCCTCGCCCTGTGGTCCTGACCCCAGCAGGAGCCACTTCCTGAGCCAGGTCTGGGCCAGGGGTGCAGACAACAACATTTTCCTCTCCAGCAGGGAGCACCACGGAGCTGGGGGGTCCTGACATGAGGCTAAGGTTGCCAACCGTAACAAGCAAGGCCTGCCCGGGGTGGGGAAGCAGCAGGTATCAGGTCCCGGATGTTTATGGAGCACTGTGGGGTGAGCATTGTATGGGGAGCCGCCCTGTGTCATCTCTTTGACTCTCCAAACCCCATGAACTTAGCATCCCACATGAGGATGCTGCCACCCAGGGAAGCCAGCCCCTGCAGGACCACCTTCTGACTCCTCTGGCCAGGGAACAGGAAACCAGGTCAGATCTGGCTCCTGCCACAACTCCCTGGGCCCCAGCTGCCCGTCCATCAGCGACACGCAGATGAGTCGATCCAAAGACCCCGCTAGTGATCACAGCAACACAACGGACTAGAACAAATCTGCGCCGGAGGCAGGTGGAGGCAAAGCTGGGGAAACTGAGGCACAGAGAGATGAGGAACTTGTGTGACGCTGACCTCTGGCTGCCTTCACGAGGCCAGGTCTGTGCTGTGGCTCTATCCCTGCCTCACACTCAGCATCCCTCTTGGGCCCCCTCTCAGGGCAGCCCTGGACCCCTTAGATCAGTCCCCAGGTACAGGGTGTCTGAAAGGGCAAGCCAAGGGACGTTAGCGCCTTGGTCACAGCCCCCAGCTCTAGTGCCTGCAGCTCTCATGTTTGCTGGGAGACCTGAAGCAAGATCTCTGGCTGCCCAGAGCTGAGCCTCGGTGAGCTTGGTATTTCACAGCACCTGCCTGGAGACAGGTCATGTACCCAGACTCTGCAGGGCCCCCAGTCACACCGTGTGGCCACAGGCCCTGCTCCCCAGCATCTGTCGTGCCTCTCCCTGCCTCAAACACCCCGCAGAGGGTCTGGAGTGCACGTGAGTCCGCCTCCCTCAGCTCACACAGGCACTGGCAGCCCAGAGAGGGAGAGCCTGCTTCAAGTTGGTGCAGAGCCCCAGCACCACCCTCGACGGACTGCCTCCACCGCCCCACTCACCCCTACTATCTGACAGCTTCAGCCAGACACGAAGAAGCGCTGCCGAGCGATCTACCCACACTCGGAGTTCATCCCTCAGAAGGAGGGCACTTGGTCCACCAAGCGCCAGTGGCAGAGGGGACCAGCGTCATGCTGTCTGCATGGCTGCATGTTTTCAGTGGCCTGTTCACCAAGAGACTGGAACCCTAGATCAAAACCATCCTCAAAGTGCAGAGTGACAGGTCTCTTGGAACCTTGCCCACCTCTTCTGCAATCAGGACCAGGGCAGTCTGGCTTCTCCGTGACCTGACCTTGCTGCCCTCAGCTCCTTTGCTCGCTCAGAATACCACCCTCCACCTTGGGCAGGACCCACTCCTCCTGCCTCCTTGCCAATTCCCTCATGTGCTTGCTTATCAGCACACTTGTCCTCAAGCCACCTATGGATACAGCAGCCATAAGAAAGGGACGGAGACCCTCGTCCTCAGGAGTGGAGATTCCAGCAGGGGACAAGGACCATTGGTCAGGAGCACAAGGGAGAGATCCATGCCTTGGACAGAGAAGGGAGGAGCCAGTCCAGAGGTCAGCAGGGAGGCCACGCACCTGCAGGAGGGGGCGGGACCACAACCAAGGCCTGATGCGGTGGTGTTTGGGGATGCAGACTCAGAGGGGAGGGGGAGGGACGGGTTCAGAGCCGGTCACCCCCTTGGCCAGGTGCTTATGAAGAGGTGGAAGGGGTCAAGGGTGGAGACAATGAGGAAAAGCTGCGGGCTCCAGGTGAGACGACAGATGGCAGTGAACATGGTAAGAAATGGCCAGATTCAAGATGCTTACTCTCTTGCTTTATTTTATTTTTTCCTGTTGAAACGTTTGCCTGGTGTACTTTATAAATACAGAATCTAGGCATATTTTGAAGGTAGTGGCAACAGATTGGATGTGGGATGTGGGCTTTAAGAAGAAGTTGACATTCAAGAGTTTGGTCTGGAGGGGCCAAGATGGAGACGTGGGTGGCAAAGGAGCCTTCATGTGTGTCAAGCTGACCTCCACCCCTCCACTCCTCCGCTGGCATCTCTGTGCAGACCCTACGCCAGCCCAAGTCCTGCCCCTCATTCAGGTCTTAGATAAGGGATCAGACCCCAGCGCTCCTCCGGGAAGCCTTCAGCAACCCTCGTGGGTGGTGCCTGGGCTCCGGAAGCCAACCCCAGCCCAGCATTCCCATCCTACTCTGTAGGCGCCTGTTCCCTCAGCTCCCCACGCCCCTGGAGTTCCTGGGGTCTAATGCATCTTTACTGCTCTACGTGGACTCTAGTGGAACACCTAAGGCAAGCCGAGGGGAGCGGTTGGTTGGTTCAGGCTCACAGTAAGAGGCTCACAGTTCACAAACAGGCAGCTCCCAGGGTCTGGACTTCTAAGGATGGTGTTCCCACTAGCTCTCTTCTTGTGAAACTGCCTTAGGGCTCCACCCAGTCCAACCACTTCCCAAAGCCTCCCTCTGGGCACTACACTTCCATCCTCTGAGTCTCACTCACATAAGGCTATAGGGACCCTAATCCCAAGCTGAAGGGGTGGGAGGTGTGAACAGACAGCCAAACCACACCACTTCTCCAGTGAAAGTCACAGCCATTTCTCTATGGGCCTAGGGTTCCATCAGGAGCCTGTCTCAGCAACCAGAAATGGAGCCCAGGAAAGGAAAAAGATGTCCCATCCCCGAAGGCCTTCCCCTCTCCCTCCACAGTGCTGGTTAGTACTTCCCAGTCCCAGGCCAATTGCTGCTGAAGTCAGGACCAAGGAAGAGAGGCGCCCACTGGCTCGAGCCTGGCCACCCAGGTTCCACACCTGCTCATCTACAACCACACCTCTCCCAGGTGGGTGAAATGCCTCTGATGCCTATAGACTCTGGGCTTAGTGTCTGCGATTTCTGTCCATGCATGGGTGGGGAAGGGAACCAGCAGACCAAAGCCGTATGTATGACTGTGCACATTGAGTGGGCAGAGCTGGCAGCCCTGGCTCCCGGACCCTCTGTGGCCATGCTCACCATGTGCCTTACTGCCTTCACCTGACTCCCTCCTCAAGCCAGACCTCTCCTCCCCAGGATCCTCACACCTCCTGATTTCATATGTTTTTCTGGCACCCTGCTGCTTGGCACACAGTGGCTTCTCAGTTATCTGTGTTGACCTCTCCTTCCATGCATACCGGGACAGGGACCGGGACCAGGACACCACATTTTGGTGGCCTCCCAAAGTCTGGCAGCATGCTGAGAGCTCAGGAGTACAGACCAGTGATGCCAGTTAGCTACTGTGACACATCAAACCACACCAAAACTTGGCGACTTCAGCCAGCAAGCCTTTATTTAGCTCACAGTTCGGTACACTGGCCGTTCGCAGGCTGGGCTCAGCAGGGCGGTTGTTCTGGTGCCAGCTGGGTTCCTGCACGTGTCTGTGGCTCGCTGTGGGCTGGCTCTGCTGTTCTCCGTTGAGTTTCCTCACATGTGTGATGATGCAGTTGTAGCTTGGTTCTTCACGTAGACATTTGTGGTCCCTCTCCCTCCCCTGGAGAAGATTCTTATCATCCCCCATCCCCAGGCCTCAGGTGTGGCATCACAAAGCCAATCCCAGGATGCGGCAGTGTGAACTGCAGGGACCGGAGCCTCTTGGTGGCGATGTGAAAAGTCCTCCCTGAACGGTGATGCCGGAACAGCTGCCAACATCTGGGAGGATGAGCCTTAGCACCGGACCTTACGCCTGCCACACTGTGGCCGGCTAGGGAAGGCCTGCTTGAAGGTTTTCTCGTAGGTGGGCAGGCTCTCTTTGAAGCAGTACACGGAACGCTTGTCACATTCGCAGGCCTTCAGCCCACAGAGGCAGCTGGCACCAGGACCAAGGGCGCAGCTACCTGCAGAGACACACAGGGTCACTGGGGCTCCCAGCCCACTCCCGGGCTTTGGTTGTAAGGCTGCGGAGTCGGGGCAGCAAGGAGCTTACTCCAGAGGGTAGGGCAAAGGTTAAGGGCACAAAAGAAAGTCCTTTGACTGGACCCCCAAGCCTCTCCCCAACCGATCACACCTGCTCCCCACACAGGTGCTGCTGGAATAAGGGAAAGCAGAGGAGGGCTGCATGGAGGGGGCTCCTGAGATGCTGCATGTCCATCGTGGACCTGGCACGGTACCAGGAGCTGACCTGGTAGTTCTACCTGCTGCTTAACCGCTTGCTTGGGTGCCTCAGGCACCTCTGATCTGAGCTGTTCAAAGGGAAATTCTTCATATTAAACAAGCCCCTCACCCACCCACGGCTCTGCTTCCCACGATTTCTGCCAAGCACAGTTCACTGTGATTTGAAAATAGTAATGCTGTTCCTGACTCCTTCAGGAGAGAGAAAAGCCACGCCCACACAGCTTCACAGTACATCACTCCTGGCTACAATGTTGCTGTTCGGCTACAGGTCTTTGCTCCTCTCCTCCGGTGCCTAAGGTGCACTTGAGCCTTTGTCAGAGAGCTGCAGAGGAAAAAGAGGGGGCTACAGGGGTCTTCAGGAGGTCCCTGTGGGTGCCGTGTGGAAATCCTTGCATTCTTACTTCGTGCCTCCTTTCCGCAAGCTGCTCGAAGGTCCCTGTGGTTCTATCTGCTGTCTGAGGCAGCCACTGGGGAGTCTGGAAGGTGTCCCCTGTGAGAAGGAGTGTTCCATCCACTCTCAGGAAACGGCCACCAGGTCCAGCAGGAGCTACAAAGCCAGGAGCCTCTCACTCCCCCAGGGAGCCCCTGGGCTGTCTCTGCCTTCTGCCCTCCCCTGGTCACTCCCTCAGCTCTTATGCCAATCCCTGTCTCACCAACCCTCCCTGCCTCGTGCAAGAATACAAGCAGGGAGTGTCTGCGAACTTGGCGAACGTAGTGGGCTGGTTACAGCTACTCTCATCATTTTCCACAACTCAGGATCCCCCAACCCTCCTGCAGGTCCAGGGAGCCCACTTGTCACAATGTTGCCTTCCTCAGTTGGCCCCCCACTCCACAGTCCTCACGGGTCACACACCCTGCTCCATCTTGTCCCAGAGCTTTTGCATATACCACTTTTGGTCTCCAGGACCAAAAAGTTATAGGCCCTTCTCCCACACCCCCGTGTTCATGTCCCACACCCCTGTGTTCATGTGGGCTGCAGTTTATACTGTCTCTGCTTCTCTTCTTTGTTGGCTTGCCTGGGTCAGCTTCTCCCCAATGGAATGTGAACTCCGCGAGGCTGGGACCTTGTCTCAGGTTCACCACAGTCTGCCTAGGATCCAATACAGGTGGTGGGACACAGCATTGGATCAAGGAAGGACCCTTTACCAACTGTGCAATCAACCAGCCACCCGTTGACTCACCACTAGATGGGGACCTACTGTGTAGTGGCTGGAGCAATAGTGCTGCATGGTTGCCTGTGTGTGTGTGTCCATGTTTCTGTGTGTGTGCATGCGTGTGTGTGCATATACATGTCTGTGTACATGGGCATGCATGTGCCTGGAGGAGGAGAGCTGTGTAAAGGCTAGCTTTCCCTTCCTAGGTAATCCCACCCCAATTCTACTCTCCTCAGAAATCAGGAATGAGAAGGGAGGCCACCCCGCAACTTGGGCTTGTGACCTTGGATGAGGCAACACCCAAAACTGCTCATTTGTGAAAGGAACAAGACTGGCATGGCTTCCTAGAGCAGTGAGGGCAGTGGCTGCTGTTGACAGAGGGAGTGGCTTGGTTGTACCAGCCCCTAGGTGGCATTCCACAGATGCCCACTGCTGATCTGGGGACAGCAGGTGGCTGGTTGGGTAATCTTGAAACAGGCAGCATCCGCCTGGTTGGACCCAGTGCCTGCTCACTTGCCTCTCTGCCTCTGGAAGTCCTTGTTCTCACGGAAGCTGTCCTCCCACACCTGCTGGCCATGTGGCTTCTCCAGCGAGGCCCACGCCACCCCATGTCTTGCCGCCCCCGGCCACTCTTCTAAGGGAATGTTCCCACCTCTGGCTTCCCCTGCCTGCTACGTCTACTGCTCCAGGCAGCCAGTCACCTGTGTCCCCACATCCTTGTCCTCACCACCCTGTCCTCAGACCCTGACTCCTGGGGAAAGCCCCAGAGCTCCCATGACATCCCTAGGTGTTTTTCTAGTACAGCTGCCACAGGCGAAGCCCCCTCCACTTTGGAGGGAGAGGGAGGGCAAGGGCTGCACGAGGTTCCACCTCTTCCCAAACAGCTCAGACACCCGAATGCAAGGCTGCTCTTGCCTGCCCACGGTTGCCTTCTCTCCCACCCCTTCTCATCCTTCCCCCCTCTGCTCCACTCTTCTCGGCCATCCCCCATTCTTCCGGCTCAGTTCTCTGCACCTCCTCCCCCTGTTCTTGTCCTTCCATAGCTCCCTGTCCTGTCTGATGACACAGCACCCCTCGGTGCTTCCTCGGTCAGCGTGCCCAGCCCGATCTCCTGGAGCTGACCTGGGGCAGCGTCCTGCTTCCTGCATGTCACACCATCTGTGTGACCAGAGATGGAGGTGGCATCAGGCCAAGAAATGCCCTCTTCGGAATCCAAGTCCAGCACCAGACCCTACCTCCCCCTGGGTATGAACGGAGAAATTGAGGCAGGAAGAAAAGGACGAGTGTCCTCAGAATCTTCTTATTCATCCTACACAAGTAAGACAAGTCAGCAAGTTCTGCCCGTGGCCAGCCCAGACCCTGCCAGGCTTCTGGAAGCAGCAGAAGAGGCTCCAAGTGCTTGGAACCCTGCCACCCACATGCAAGACCAGAATGCAGTTCCAGGGCTCTTGGTCCAGCCTTGGCTGGTGTACCCACTTATGGGATGAATCAAAGGATGGAAGATCTCTCTCTTCTCTCTCTCTCTCTCTGTCTCCATTTTCCTCCCTACTTCCCTTTCAAATAAATATGTCTTCTCAAAAAAAAAAAAACAAAACAAAACAAAACCTCACAAACATGATGGGGGGGCAAATGCTATGGGAGAAAAGAGCAGGTTATTTGCGAGTGGCTGGGGGGGCGGGGCACCAGAAATGTCTTTGCAATCCCAAACTCCAATGATTATCACTGTCACTTCTTTGGTGGCGGGAAGCGTCTGAGGCCTGGAGAGGACCCTGTCTCTGCCTCCCACACTTGCTCTTCCCCCCGGACTCATGGACGCCTGTGTGGGTGGACAGGTGTCACTGCCCTTGCCAATGCCAGGTACTTCCAGAAACCCACTCAGGCGGGGAAGCTCCTCCCAGGTGGTAGACATCTCCACTGGGCACACAAGTCCCTGGGCATGGGTCACAGACCTTTCTCTGCCCCGGTGTCTCCATGGCATTTGGAGATGTGAGTGGACCACGCTGTTCTCCTCTTTTCCCTCCTCTGCTCACCTAGCACATCCCCAGAGCAGCACTGGTTGCCAGGCAACCTGGGACCAGACTTGAGAATTTGGGGAGGCTGGGGAGGCAGTTAACCCTTGCAGGGGCAGCTCTTTGAACCGAGGCATAATGAGCTCCTCCAAGAATGCTTGGAGCAATTAGAAAATTTCAGTACTCGCCCACAGAAGGGGAAAGAGAACTCAGGCCAAGAAAAAGAGTGCCCACCTCTGAAAGGGCAAGCACTGGACAGTGCTACTCAAGTCCATCCTTCCAGAAACTTCCTGGGCAGCAGGTGATGAACTCTATAGAGGCACTGCTAGAAGGGGAGCTGGGGAGAAGCTAGGGCCAGACCCAGCGCTGCCTGCCTCTTCACATGAATGGAAAAATCTAGACCATTCTATGGGACCAAACCCCATCTGCTTCTCTTTGCTTTCTCTGGGACACGGCAGGGCACTGTGGCCAGTGGGTTGTAGACCTCGGGACCCTCCAAGCAAGCTCATGCCTATCACTCTACAGGGCAGAGTGAGCTGGGTCGAAATCTTCGCTCTTCCCTCCCCAACTGTGTGACCCCGGCCAAATCACTTAACCTCCCTAAGCTCAGGTGGCCCCTCGGAGATTTGTCCTAGGCTTCAAGGGTCACTTATAAAGCATCCCTCAGAGGATGTGCATGAACCACAGCAGTTGTTATGGGACCATTCCATGGATGAGAACACTGAGGGCCATCAGGGTGTGCTCAAGCACGTGTCTTAGTTCTCCCTCTTTCTTGGCTCAAACTCTCCTCTCCCTGAGCCTCAGTCTGCCCTTTGCTGCAGGGGCTGGTATGGAGTGTCTCTCAGGGTGCATCCAGCTCTGGGATTTCCACAAGACCATGCACTTCGGGCTGTGCCCACACCTGGGCAGGTGAATGGGTGCACTTCAGGTCTCAGCACCTGTCAGCAGCACACCTGGGACCAAATCCCTCTCAGCCCTGTGCTGGGGGCTCGGGAGGAGGGCCTGGGACTGGCAGAGGGCAGCCTGCTCCTCACCAGCTGGCCTTGCTGATGAGGGTATGCTGGGGTGCCTCCTCCTGTGCCCACTCCTGAGCACAGTTCAGCACTGCAGAGGCTGAACCAAGGCTTGGGGAGCCTGTGGGGAAAGCAGCACCCAGGCCATGAGCCCTGCAGCTCAGCTCCCAGCCCTCACCTGGACCTTCCGTCACCACCTGACCTGTGCTAACCGACGTTCCCCGTGCCACCTTCAGGAGCTCCACCCTCCACCTCTCCTGGCCCCTAGGTCCAGGGTGCAGGATTGAGCAGGTAAGGCCCCCTACATCCACTTCTCACCATACTATTTGGCGGGGGAGGGAGGGAAGAGTTGCCCGGCAGCACCCTTCATTCCTTGTGCTGCCTTTTCAACCATGTTAAACTAACACTTGACATGCCAGATGTTAGGTCAGTGTAAGGCAGGGCAAGAAGTAAACCACATACAGATCAGGCCAAGAGGCAGCTTGAATAACAGAGCTGGTGGTCCTTCTGTATGCTCCCAGGCACACCCCACCCTGCCTTCCCATGTAGAGCAGAGAGGGTGGGGGGCAGCAGAACTCGGCCTCAGGTCTGTTCTCAGGGTGAGCTGTTTCCAGTCCTGTTCCTTCTCTCCTGTTCTCCCACCAGTTTCCCAGCCATGCCTTGAGCTCTCACAGTGTAAAGGGGCTTGCCTACCTGCCAACCACTGGCTTAGGAACAAGAGCAGCTCAGGTTGAGCTGAAGCCAGCCTTGCCACGGGTGCTGGGATAGGGGGGTGTGGAAGTGGGAGGAGGTTGAGCCCGGCTACCATGTTCCAACCTCTGGGTCTTGGTGTGGGCTCTGCTGGAGCCCTGAGTGTGGGCGCTGGGGAGGTCCTAGCATCTGAGAATGGAACGTATGGTGGAGGAGAGCCTCCCAGGATGCCCTGGCAGGTGAGTGTCAGTTGGAGCAGCCCAATGCCCAGGCACACGTATGGCTGTGAACTGGCACACATAGGATGCAGGTGCCCTATGCCACCCACAAGGCCAAGCAGGACATGGACCACACAACAATACAGGGCATCCATGAGACAAAGGGGACTCGCTTCAGGTTGCTGCCAGCCCCTTTGGGGTGCTTCCTTTGCACTCACAGGCACAGGCTGGCACCTGCACAGCGTCAGCCAGTGCCTGGACCACTCCCTGCAGAGAACAGAGGGGAGGGCTGCTCACCTGGCTCCTGCCCTCCTCCTCAAACGGCCTCAGGAGCACGTGAGCACCCTGCCCTTCCTCCTTCTACTTACTTTTGTGTCCCCCACAATGCCGATCAGGGCGCTTGGCAGGCAGTCGCCCTTAGCAAATATTTGTTCAACTGAAAGACAGTTGCGTTGCCTGTTAACATGCGGCAGAAATCAGGAAAAACATCCTCCACAGCCACAGTTGCCAAGGGAGGCTGCATACCTGTGTCTGTGCCAACCAGCAAGTCCTCACTGGGCACATGCTGTGCCATACTGGGTGAAGAGCTTCTGGAGGCTGGGGGCTACAGCTGTGGGCTGAAGACGACAGGGAGGGACCAGACAAGGGCTTCCCAAGAGGCACTGATCCTTGAAATCACTCCCCCCCCCCTCCCGTGACTCAAAACACATGGGAGGAAAAGACAGCCAGGAAGTGGACGCCAAGAAACAAGCCGGGTTCAGAGATGCTTCTCCAGGGAGAGCCACTCACAGATTACCGTGCCGTTGACCACGTGGAAATGGTAGCTGTTCAGCACAGGCTGGCAGCCCAGCTCCTTGAGTTTCTCGTAGCAGCAGTCATGTGCCAGACAGCACCTGGGGGCCAGATGGGAGGGAAGTGAGGTGCTTGACCTGCGGGGAACACCCCTGGCCCCTGGCAGAGAAGATGTTGAAGGTGGGGAGGAGAATGGCTGACGTCCCTCCATTTCCATTGGGCAGTGGGTGTTGGGAGCCCCCAAAGACACAAAAGCCAGCAGGTGCTCAAGTCCCTTACATGAAAGGGTGTAAAATTTGCATAACACGGTCACTCACCCTCCGTGTACACTCATCTCCAGGTGACTAAACATCCATCATAGGAGGGAACTTCAAAAAGTGTTGGGACAATGGCAGGTTTATTTAAGTGCAAACACTTTGAAGACCATACACAGTCTTTTCATAACACACACTTTACACTGACTCTTTGAAAGCCTCTTGGATGCATAGATTTCAAAAAAAAATTTTTTTCCAGTGAAAGCACCTTATTTCTTAATTGCATTTTCCCAGGAACCTCTCACATTAGTCTTGAAGGATGCGGATACTTTGGAAATGGTTGTTGCCTTGTTTAGGGAGTGGCGGCAAGAAAAATGCCATCACAGTACACATGCAACCCTTTAAATATATATATATATATTTAATCCACTGAACACCGGTCAGCAATGCGGATGGCTGGGTTGGGTTCTAAGACCCAAAATACCAAGGAAAATATTGCCGTCTCCTCTCCCCCTCCTTCTCTCTCTTCCCCACTCCCAGATGGGTTGTTTGTTAGTGATCGTCCTTGAGCAACCAGACTGTATTTCTCATCTGCCTTTGGACTTGGGCAGAGGAGGCACCGAAGAGGCCCGTGTTTGTTCTGCTCCCGACTTTGTCGCTCCGAAGCTGGGAGGCTTCCCTGACTCTCGATCTTGGCTCCTCACTGTCCTCGCCTGTAGAATGACAGGGCTGAATGCCATGCCCCTTCACCGTGGCAATGAGGCTAGAGCCGTGTGCAAACCTCCCGGCCCAGTACTGGACAACCACTGGGCCAACTGTAAGCAGCAGGATCCCTTCCAGATCCTTGGGAACTTCGAGCTGGAGCATTCTGAGACCCCAAGAGACCCAAGCATCAGAAAGCTTCCAGGCCTTGCTGCAGGGAATATTTATCCATGCTGGGCTGACCAAAGTCAGCAGCATTTCTCTTTTTTACTTGTTCATAGCTAACAACACACACACTAACTAGCCTGCTTTCTCCCTCCCCAGACCACAACAGCCTCCTCTCTTCCCGGGGAACTCACACACCCCCAGCTCTATCCTTAGGAGGAGGTCTGGAAGGTAGGTTTGTGCCACGTGACCGTGCCCAGATGGACAACTTTTCCAAACTGGGCCACTCTTGGACGCTGTGTCCCTGAATATGGAATTAGGGCTGGGAACCAGCCAGGCAGTCCTGCTGCACCTGCAGCGTTCAAAGCTGGGGAGCTGAGAGAAGAGCCCTTGTGCGGTGAAAGCAAAGGCTTCCAGAGCTCCAGACAGGACTGAGCACACAGCCCAGTGCAACATGAGCCCATGCATATGTGTAGTTAGAATCTCAAGGTGGTGCAGCCGAGCAGTAAACCAGGTATGCACGGGCCCTGGGCGACAGCACAGCCATACATTCAAGAAGCTGGTCCTCAGGGTGAGGACATCTGCTTGGCAGGGGCCGGCATGCCCTGTTAGAGAGCCTGGGTTCAAATCCTGATTCTGCTCCGGACCCAGCTTCCTGCGAATGGCACCCTGAGGTCCCTGTATTAGGGTTCCTGCCACCACACATGGCAGACTCAGGAGATGCAGGCTCCTGGGTTCAACCTGGCCTGGCCCTGGCTATGCAGGCATCTGGGGAATGAGCAAGCAGATAGAAGATCTCTCTCTCTCTCTCTCTCTCTCTCTCTCTCTCTCTGAAACAAATTAAAGAGGCTGCTGGCTTCCCTGGGTGCCTCGGGACCCCACTCCCCACCCCACCCTCCCAAGTCCTACTCAGTCTTTTCTTAGCGGGCTTGCATCGGCTTCTGTTACAGCCATGCACAGGTGCTGACTCCCCCGACTGGTCTCCGCAAGGACTTTAACACAAATCAAATGCCGGGCGGCCTCCATACGCACCTGTCGGTGTCATCCACAGGGATCCCTTTGCCCCCCAGCCCGCAGTAGCAGCCATAGCCATAATAGGAGAAGAAGGCACTCCGGCCCGTGATGTGTTTGACCATCCTTTGAAACTGCCAGAAGCTGCTGAGAGTGGGCGCTGCCCCTGCCAAAGAGCAAACAAGCAGGAGGAGAGAGAGGGGTAGTCAGCACGGGGCTACCAAGACCCCTGTCTGGGGTGCTCTGCAGCCCCCAAAACATAGTGCAAGGCCACAGCTCAGATCCTCAGCCCGACCTGGGGAAGGGAGGAAGCTGGTCAGATTTGCCCCCATGCTACCCAGGGACCCTCCTGGCCAGCTCAGCAAGAACATTCAGTTTTCATGTTACTTAGGATCCTGCTTTAGCCATGCAGAAAATCCCTGCGATGGAAAGGCCCCCTGAGGTCTGCTACAAGATAAACAGGACAAGTTCAAAGTCAGAAACGCCAGTCCCCACAGGCATCAGCCAGCATTTACCACCTTATAGGAAAAGCAAAATATTCCAGGCAGGAAGGACACCCTCCAATTCTGCTGCTTTTTTTTTTTTAATGGCCAAATGTACCTGAACCCAGCAATTACTCCTAGAAAATGTTTACAAAAGGGGGCACAAATACAAACAGATGGGGGTGTTTGCTACGGGATAACTTGTGATACCAGAAAATTGGCAACCACCCACAGGCCCACTGGCGCGAGATAATAACAAAATTATGTGTCTTGATAATGCACTACTTTTAAGAGCAATATCACTAGACAATGGGCCTGAGGAGGTAGACAGACACAGGCAAAGCTGCTCCATATACCTCGATGCTGATTTTCTTATGTGAGCCTTTCTATTAGCAGGTCTTGAATGTGGGTGAACAGCAAGGCTTAGAAGGACCAGTACCAGGTGCTCAGGAATGGTGACCCCTGGGTTTAGGTTCACATGCTGACTGCTCCCTGCTTGTGGCCTAGGAGGGCGGCAGTGGATGGCTCAAGTCCTTGGGCCCCTTGTATCCACTTGGGAGACTCGGCAGAAGCTCCTGGCTCCTGACTTCAGATCAGCTCAGCTCTGGCCATTGTGGCCATTTGGAGAGTGGACCAGCAGATGGAAGATCTCTCTCTCTCTCTCTCTCTCCCTTCCTCTTTCGCTCAAAAAACAAATCTGAAAAAAATAAATCTGAAAAAGACCTGAGGTTGCGGCAGGACAGGAAGGGACTCTGCCTTGTCGCTGTGCTCGTTTGTAGGCTCTTTTGAACTGTAAGCACTCATTCGTTTGCTTGGCAACAAAAACACGAACTTGGCAAAGAAAGAGCATTTTCAGGAATCTTCTCTGGCATCTTCCTGTCTTCTGAGCTGAAGGGTGGCCCTGGCTGCAGACACCAACCCTAGGAGAAGTGGAGCCATGTGCAGGTGCTGACCCCTGGGATTGTAAACACGGTTCTGCCTGCATCTGCTTACCTCCCACACCATGAACGTGAAAGTCATGACTTGCCACCACGGACTGGCGCAGCGGGGACAGTGGGAAGGAAAGTCTGGCATTCACACTTTAAAGGCACAAGCATCGCAACATCCCAAGAGCAAGGGGGGCTGGGAGGTGTATAGGTTCTCTAGGGTCAAGGGCAGCAGTCCTGTAGTCCCTGGCCTCGTCCTCGGTGAAGGTCAGGACCTCTGACGGCAGCACGCAGCTGACCCATCTCCGCAGAAGCATTTGGCCACACTTGCAGTTCTCTTCCGAGTGACTCTGAACATTCCCCCTCACCTGATGCCACCACCCCCACGGTACAGACAGGAGGATAGCATCCAACTTATCTCGTAGCTGGGATGCGACTTACAGCAGGACACGAAGACAGCGAGAACAGCAATGACCTTCATTCCCGAGGAGACCAGGGGAGCTGAAAGGTCCTGCCTTGGTCTACGCACGAGCAGGCTCCCAGCTGCACTCCTATTGGGGAAAAGAAAGGGACTACAATGAGGCCAGTCCGTTTGGATGCAAAAGCCCAGCTGCTGGGACCTCAGCACAAGACCTAATCATCATTGACAACCATCATTGACCTGACAATAAAACACTTTCTGGTATTAGACCAAATATATCATTTGAAAATTCTAAGTGTTTTTTTTTTTGGTGGGGTGGTTCTCTAATTTTTATTCCTTCTCGGACAGTTCTATCTCTTTGTTGGTTTTCTTCAGCAGAGTCAACATCCTATCTATTCCCAAGCAAACACACACTTATTCTGGGGCGTGCATTGTGACACATCAGGTTAAGCTACCACCTGTGATGCGAGCACACTAGACCAAAATACAGTTCAAGTCCTGGCTGCTCCACCCCAGGAAAGCAGCAGAGGATGGCCCAAGTACTTGGGCTCCTGTCATCTACATGAGAGACCCTGATGGAGTTCCAGGTACCTGGCTTCAGCTGGCACAGCCCCAGCTATTACAACCATTTGGGAAGTGAACCAGCAGATGGAAGATTCTCTCTCTCTGTCACTCTACAACACAAATAAACAAAATAATTTTTTTAAGCCAAGTCAACTGTGCATATAAAACCCAGTCCAGGAGAGTCCAGGGCAGAGATTTCCTTCCTACCATGCATATCAACTCAGCCCCTGTACATGAGGTTAAAAACACGTGTCAGTAAGACCACGCCTGCAGCAAGACACTCTGAGGGCTTCCTGGGCAATTCCCATGGCAACTCAAGTCTCTGGTTACATTAAAGACAGGGAAAGTGAAGCCAGAGACGTTGAATAAATCCCTCCCAGCCTTACACTTGCAATTTTTGGGGGACACACATCTCTCAGGCAGACAGGTGATGCAACATCTCAGAAAGGCAACAAGTGGGGCTGGGTGCAAGTCTGAGAGTGAAACCCACAGACACTTATCAAGTGCCAGCCATGGTGGCTCATCCATGCTGAGCCAACTTAGAGGCAGTGGGCATCTGGACCAGAGGTAGACCCTGGCCCTGGGAGACAGAGTCGTCCTTAACGTCAGCTCAGGAAGACTGACCACAGCGTCTCCAGGCACCCAACACATGCTCCCTGCAGCAGGGAACTGTGTGAGCCTAGGGTACAGCCTTTCCTTTGGAGGGCACCTGGCTGAGAGGGTACTGTCTCCCAACTCCTTCCAGTCAGTGCCCAAGAGCCACCTGGGCCCCAGAGGTCCCCGGAGGATGGGCTGAGGCCTCAGCAACTAGCCTTGGGTCAGCTTCTCCCTCAAGCACAGCTTCTCTTCAGGATTCCAGTTCCTCTCTCAGAGCCACCTTTCCTCTGTGCCAGCTCTTCTTCTCCATGTCAGCTTCTCCTATTGTGTCTTGGCATCTCTCTCATTTCAGTTACTCTGGTGCCAGCTTCTCTGTGTCAGACTGCATGTCAGCTCTCCATTCGTTACTTGTGTGTTTGTGTCACCGTGTCTCCATGTCTCCATTCCAGCTGCTCTCTCCATGTCAGTGTCACTGTATCAGCTTCTCCCACCGTGTGTCAGCTCCTCCCTCTCCTCAGTCTTGCTGGATTCACTTCCAACAGCTACACCCCTGGGAGCTCCCCCAGCCAGACAAACCTCTGACTGCAAGTCTGTTCCCAGGGGGGCTCCACATGCGGGGCCCCACACCTCTGAGCCCAGAGGCTGCAGTGTGAGCTGCTGAGAAGGCAGAAGCTTCCAGAAGGAGGTGGTGGGAGCAGTCCCTGACTGCCCTCACATTTTGTGTGGACTCCTCACCACGTGAGGATGAGGAAACAAAGGTCCGAGTGAAGCGGAATTGCAAAGTCCACACACCAGCACCCAGGTCCACACACCAGCACCCAGGTCCCCACACCAGCACCCAGGTCCCCAGCGCCCACACCACAACCCTTCCCACCTCTGGCTGTAGCAGCGTTCTGATCACACAAGGGCAGCCTCAGGGAGCCCCGGCCCCATCTTCACAGTCTTGATTTAGGGAAGACGGACATGGCTCTCTCCTTATGAGCCTTTGCTCGGGACTTGTAAAGCAAGAGCACAAGGCCAGAGCGCCTGAGAGTTGGGAGGCAATGGGAGTGTGAAAGGATGCGAGGGGTGGCCTCCCAGGGCACGAGGTGGTCAGGAGCCCCGATCCCTTTTCAGTCAGTGATGGAAGATACGCTGGCTTTGAAGACGAAGCGAGCCAGCCGACTCCCTAAGGACAGAGGTCACGTCCACTCTGTGCCTCTCTTCATGCCCAGGCCCTGCTGGGGACAGCACCTGGCACACAGTGGTGGCGAAAGGCAACCTACAGGCCACTTCACCTTCTGACCTTTCACACAGTTGATGGGGAAACAGAATTACAAAATAAGTTCATCTCAGAGTTTGAGGTCCATGCCTACAAAACTCAGCACTACAAAAAAAGTTGGACATGTATTAAAAAAAAAAACAGTGCACCTCTATAAACTCCCCTTTTCATTCTGTTCTTGTCACGAGTCTGTTAAAAGATGTGTTTACTTCTTGATTTGCTCGAAAGGCACAGTAACAAATAGCGGGAGAGACAGAGAAAAAGAGATCTTCCATCCTCTGATTGACTCTCCAAATGTCCATAGCAGCCAGGCTGGGCTGGGCCAAGCTGAAGGCAGTAGCTGGGCACTCCAGCCTGGTCTCCTGTGTGAGTGGCAGGAAACCCAAGTACTTGAACCATCGCCTGTTGCCTGTCCAGGAAGCTGGATCAGAAGCAGAGCATCTGGGACCGGCACTCTGATACGGAATGCAGGCATCACAAGTGGGGCTGGGGGCTTAACCCCCTGCACCTGCCCCTTGCCACGCACTTCCTGGAACACCCACACATGAATCATACACAAAAGAGTATTATAGGTCCGAAACACGGCCCCAAAGGCAAGGCTCGGGACAGTGGAGAAGCACCACAGATTCCCCAGCTCTGTAGATACTAGTCTAACGAGTGTCTCCATCTCAGCTTCTCAGCCTCAGCTGGTGACGAGGAATGGAGCTAGAGCAGTTCTCTCACCATTCAGGCCACAGAGGAATGATTTAAGGACAAGGGGCAGCAAAGCTTGGGAATCTGAGGCCATTGAGCATAGGGGCAGGCAGTTCTAACCACACCTGCAATACTATTACCTGGATTGGAATTACTGAGCGGCCAAGACAAGGCTGCATTGTGCAAGGTACGGGCAGTTAACTCAGGGTTCTACATCAAAGAGGAGAGTTGCAGCTGGTTGGCTACTTCCAGACAGAGCTGGGGTGGAGACCTGACCATGGCTCCCAAGGAATGCGGGCAAGAGTCCACCAGCTCCTGAGGATGAAACAGCAGCACTCACAGCCAATCACAGCGCTCAACGGGCTCTGCTTGAAAGAGTGCAAAAGGGGCTGGCATTGCACCACAGCAGCTGAAGCTGCTGCTTGCTATGCTGCCAGGCTGTTTCAGAACACTAGATCGAGTCTCAGCTTCCTGCTAACATACCTGGGAAGGCTGCAAAGGATGACCCAAGACCTTGGGTTCCTGATACCCACACAGCAGAGGACCCCATGCAGTTCCTGCCTCCCAGCTTTAGTCCAGTCCAACACCCCCATGACAACGGCAGCCATTTGGAGAATAAGCCAGTATTGGGAAGATTCATATTCTTTCTCTCTCCTCCTTCGAAATAAATGTTCAGACAAACTGGAAAGCAGGCAATACATTTTCAGACTTTTCCAACCATTTAAAAATCACAATAATTCTAGGGGTAAGTTTCCTTCTCCAGAAACTTTCTCCCCACAGTGCCCCCAGGAAGCTGGCTGAGCTGTAGACTTGACTACTCTCTTGGCCCCCATCAGATTTTTCACCATGTTCATTTCTAGTGTCAGGGTCTTCCATGACATCAACGATGTCAGATGGGATCAAGGACCGACACGGCAGGACACCAGAAGCCACTGATCCAAAGGCTCTCTGGAAACACGCTGCTAAGAGACAGGTGCACCTGCTTCTGCCAGCGATGCGGGAGTCTGGAGATCACTTAGAACTCAAGCCAGGTGTCCTTGTGTGGTCACCACCTGGCAGCCCACCAGGACCTCTCAGAAGGAAAGCCAACTGCAGAATCACCATTGCCATCACCACTGACCAAGTGCCTACCATGAAAGCATTAAGTGGGCAAAGCAGGGGTTCCAAGTCAGGCAAGCAACTGCCCTGAGAAGCTAACAACCCATAGAAGGTCAAGTGCACGTGCTATGAGAACAACACAATGACAGCCAACCCTCAGGACACATTTCTGAAGCCCCAAGCACTGTCCCGGCACCTGAAAATGTTTTCTTGCATTTCATACCCCAGTCCTCTCGTTCACATCCCCATTCTATGGGCACAGAAACTGGGACCCAGACAACTTGACTCCATTGCCCAAGGTCCTTGGCTGGCAGGTGGTGGAGCCATGGAGCCAAGGTTCAAGCTCAAGCTCTGGCCCCCAGAAGCCAGACCTGCCATCCTACAACAGCCAAAACTACAGGTGATGGGACACACAGTTGGGGTGGGATCTGAGGCCAGGGTGGGCACTGGACTTGCCAGCTGGATACAGGTTTTAAGACTGCTGTGCTACTCATCAGCTGGAGGGCCCTGTGGCTCAGCTGTTTGCTCAGCAGCCTCCACTGAGAGAGTCATAAACACGGGCAGTGCCCAGTTTCAAGGAGGTGCAGCCCCTTCGCAAGCGCCATCCACCAGACCTCAAGGGACCAGAAAGAGCACAGGAAGTTTGGTGGAGGAGGATGTGAGCTAGAAGGGCATGTGGAGGACATGGTTTTTAGGGATCTGTTTGGATTAAGGCTGAGAACAAGGAGTAGGCATAAGTAAACCCTGGCGCTGGAAAAGCCAGGAGGTCCTCTTGGGGAACAGGTTGCTGAGTAGGCCAAACCCTGAGGACTTTTCTTTAAAGCAAGCAGGGAGATAGAAGCTGCAG